GGGAATACATAAATGACAGAAAGCCAAAGTCATTGTTGATAGGAAGAAAATGTTAGTGCTCTGGATAAAAGATCAAACTAGCCACAATATTTCCTTAAGCCAAAACCTAACCCTCTCTTCAACTCTATGAAGGCTGGGAGAAGTGAGAAAACTGGAGAAGAAAAGATGGAAGTTAACATAGATTGGTTCATAAGGAAAGAATCTATCTCCATAACATTGAAGTGAAAAGGAAAGCAGGAAGTGTTAATATAGAAAACTGCAGCAAGTTATCCAAAAGATCTAGCTAAGGTAATTAATAAAAGTGGCTATACTAAACAACAGATTTTCAAAACAGCTTACTGTTGGAAGAAGATGCTATCTAAGACTTTCATAGTTAGAGAGGAATAGTCAATGCCTGGCTTCAAAGCTTCAAAGACAGGCTGATTCCTCTTGCTAGGGGCTAATGCAACTGGTGACTCTAAGTTGAACCCAATGTTCATTTACCATTCTCCAAATCCTAAGGCCCATCAGAATTATGCTAAATCTACTCTACCTGGGCTCTATTAATATAACAACAAAGCCTAGATGACAGGAATCTGTTTACAACATTGTTTACTGAATATTTTAAGCCGACCGTTGAGACCTACTGCTCAGAGACAAGATGCCTTTCAAAATATTACTGCTTGTTAACAATGCACCTGGTCACCCAAGAGCTCTGATGTTTTCATGTCTGCTAACACAACATCCATTCTGTAACTCATGGACTAAGGAGTCATTTCAACTTTCAAGTCTGATGATTTAAGAAATACATTTTGCAAGGATCTAGATGCCATAACTAGATGCCTCTGGTCAATCTGGGCAAAAGCAAATTGAATCCTGGAAAGGATTCACAATCCTAGGTACCATTAAGAACACTTATGATTCATGGGAAGAGGTAAATATATCAACATGAGCATGAACTGGAAGTAGTTGATTCCAGCCCTTAAAGATGACTTTGAGGGCTTCAAAACTTCAGTAGAGGAAGTAACTGCAAATATGGTGGAAACAGCAAGAGAGCTAGAATTAGAAGTGGAGCCTGAAGATATGACTGAATTGCTGCAATCTCATGATAAAATGTGACTGGACAAGGAGCTGCTTCTTATGGATGAGCAAAGAAAGTGGTTTATTAAGACAGAATCTGCTCCAGGTAAAAATGCTGAGAAGACTGTTGAAATGACAACAGAGCATTTAGAATATTATATAAACTTAATTAATTAATCAGTAGCAGGCTTTAAGAAGACTAATTCCCAACTTTACAAGAAGTTCTACTGCGGGTAAAATGCTATCACATAGCATTGCCTGCTATAGAGAAATTGTTCATGAAATGAGAGTCCATAACACAGGAAATTTCACTGTTGTCTTCTTTTAAGAAATTGTCACAGCCACCTCAACCTTGAGTAACCACACCCTGATCAGTCAGCAGCCATCAACATCAAGACAAGACCCTCCACCAGCAAAAAATTATGACTCACTGAAAGCTCAGCTGATGGTTACCATTTCTAAGCAATAAAGTATTGTATAATTAATGAGTTAATTGGTTTTTTAGACATAATGCTATTGTACACTTAGTACAATTTAATGTAAACATAATTTTCATGTGCACTAGAAAACCAAAAAATTCATTTGACTTGTTTTAGGGCATTCGCTTTATTGCAATAGTCAGAACAGAACACACAATATCTCTGACACATGCCTATAACAAGGAAGTGAGTAGGAAAAGTAAGAAAAAACTAAGAAAAGCTAGAGTAAGGTTAATATATATGGCTCTTAGCTTTCTAGGAAACAGTAATTAGCTATAAAATTCACTTAGCTGTTTAAAAGATGCAAAAGTATTTCCAGCACTAACATCTAAGGGAAATTTCTCCTTTAGGCCCTCTGACAGAAGACAGTATATAACATAAAGCATGTTCTCAACTACATCCCAAATATGAATACAACTTAATTCTATGGATAATTGCATACAACACTATAGCTAAAACACTGGAATAAATTTGAGTAAGCAGAAGCTAAATCTCTTCATGACTTAGTCAAAGGTCTGACATAGCAAATAATTGCCCTCAATCACTTTTACTAATACTTTCAAATTATGACACAGCCTTTTATGACTTAGGCTACTTAAATATATACAAACTCATGAGTCAAGTCAGTGTTGTATAGATAGGGTTTTAGGAGTACCTGCTTTGGATCCTCATAGGTGTTCTCTACCACTCAGAAAGTGGTACAAGCTAATGGTTAAGAGCAAGGGCCCAGTGGATTAAAGACTAAGTATATGACCTGAAATCATAAAACTCCTAGAAGAAAACATGGGCAGTATATTCTTAAATACCAGCATTAGCCTTTTTTTCTAGATATGTCTCCCCAAGCAAGGGAAACAAAAACAAAAATAAGCATGTGGGACTACAGCAAACTAAAAAGCATCTGCATAGCAAATAAAACTATAAACAAAATGAAAAGACAACTTACTGAAGGGAAGAAGATAATTGCAAATAATATATCTGGTAAGGGGTCACTATCCAAAGTATATAAAGAACCCTTACAACTCAACACACACAGAAAAAGAACCAAATAATCTAATTAAAAAATGGACAAAAGACCTGAATGAACATTTTTCTAAAGAGGACATAGAGCCACATCAAAAAAAGAGCTCAACATCACTAATCATCAGGGAAATGCAAATCAAAACCATGAAGAGCTATCACTTCACACCACTCAGAATGGCTAATATCAAAAGACAAGAAACAACAAATGCTAGTAAGGATGTACAAAAAAGAGAACCCTCATGTACTGTTGAGAAAAATGTAAATTGGTGCAGCCACTATGGAAAACAGTGTGGAGGCTCCTCAAAAAATTCAAAATAGAAATACGATTCAACCCATTCCACATACCAAATAGCATTCCACTTATTGGTATTTACCTGAAGAAAACAAAATCATTAATTCAAAAAGATATATGCAACCCTATGTTTATTGCAGCATTATTTACAAGAGCCAAGATATGGAAACAACCTAAGTGTCTATCAATGGATGAATGGTTAAAGAAGATGTGGTACATATACAAAATGGAATATTACTCAATCATAAAAAAAACCAAAATCTTGACATTTGTGACAACATAGATGGACCTAGAGGGCATTACACTAAGTGAAATAAGTCAGACAGGGAAAGACAAATACCATATGATTTCACTTTTATGAGGAATCTAAAAAATAAGACAAATGAACAAATAAGCAAAATAGAAACAGATGCATAAACACAGAGAACAGACTGGTGGTTGCCATAAGGGAAGGCAAGTGAGGAAACTGGGTGAAAAAAGTGAAGGGGATAAAGAGGTATGATCTTCCAATTATAAAATAAATAGGTCACTGGAATCCCATTCCTTGGAATTTACCCAAAGAATACAACTTCTCAGATCCAAAAAGACATATGCACTCCTATGTTTATCGCAGCACTTTTTATAATAACCAAAATATGGAAGCAACCTAAGTGTCCATCAGTAGATGAATGGATAAAGAAGACATGGTACATATACACAATGGAATACTACTCAGCCATAAGAAAGAAACAAATCCTACCATTTGCAACAAAATGGATGGAGCTGGAGGATATTATGCTCAGTGAAATAAGCCAGGTGGAGAAAGACAAATGGCAAATGATTTCCCTCATTTGTGGAGTATGACAATGAAGCAAAACTGAAGGAACTAAATAGCAGCAGCCTCAGAGACTCCAAGAAGGGACTAGTGGTTACCAAAGGGTAGAGGTATGGGAGGGTGGGTGGGGAGGGAGGGAGAAGGGGATTGTGGGGTATTATGTTTAGTACACATGGTGTGGGGGATCAGAGGAGAACAGTATAGCACAGAGAAGGGACATAGTGGATCTCTGGCATCTTACTACACTGATGGACAGTACTGCATTGGGATATGGGTGGGGACTTGATAATATGGGTAAATGTAGTAACCACATTGTTTTTTCATGTTAATCCTTCATAAGAGTGTAAATCAATCCTACCTTAATAAAAAATTTAAAAATAAATAAATAAATAGGTCACAGGGATGAAAAGTACAGCATACGGAATACAGTCAATAATATTGTAATAACTTTGTATGGTGACAGATGGTAACTACACTTATTGTGGTGACCATTTTGTAATTTATCTAATTGTCAAATCATTATGTTGTACACCTTAAACCAATGTAATATTGTATATCAACTATACTTCAATGAAAAAAATAATAAAGAGCAAGAGCCCAGGAGCCGACTTCCTGCGTTAGAATGCCTTCTTTGTTCCTCAGAAGAAGTGTGAGTGCACTTTGGCAAGTTATTTAACGGCTTTCTACTTCTGGAACCTCCTATGTAAAATGAAGATAATAGTCTATCTGAGTGTTATAAAAATGAGATAAGTTGTTATAAAAATGAGATAAATTAACGTAAAAGGCTTAGGACCATACCTGGCATGTAAGGAAATACTATTATTATAAATGTGAAAAAAATGTGAATAGCACAGGTTAATTTATATGGTTACTATTTAAACCAACAAAGCTGAATCAAAAGTTTACTTACACTGATTTCTTTTAAACAAAAATGATCTAAAAACCAACACTCCAGAAGCACTATGACTCTTGCCTTTTTTGGAGTGGTGTGTAATAACATGTGTTGGTGATGGTTCACAAAAACTTATATATATAGTACATGAACAGACACTTTTACTTTTAAGACCTTTAAGTATTATTGCTCTCTTGTCAGCTATGTTTGCCTCCAGTATTCTGCCACACAAATAGAGACATGATACACTCAACAGCATATAGTTCAGAAAACTTAATTTTATTAGGAAAGCAGACTGAAAATTGTTAAAGAATTAAATGTCTGTAAATAATTTTCTTTTAAAAACCTATCCAAATTCAAAGAATTCATAACAGTAAATTATAACATAAGCAAGCAGCAACCTGGGCTCAAAATAATTGAATCTGACAGGCAATGTATACTCACTTTCGTTGCAGCAGAAGGCAGTAATCAACTATGATGGGTACCATATCCTGTGGAGAAACCATAAAGAAAGCATTAGCACCACATCCCAATGACCCACTGGTTAGATACAACACATAATGGAAGTGGTCTGCTTAAGATACTGTTAGGTTATTGGAAGAATATAATTTTGTATCATGCTTTTGGTAAGCAATTTGGCACAATGTGTCCAAAGTTTTAAAAATGCAAAAACAACTTTACCCAGTAATTGTATGTAGATATTAATCCTAAATATATTTAAGAAAAAAAATTTGATAATGCATTAATGTGTGCCCTGCAGCTCTATAACAGAAGAAGCAGGAGGGGAAGGAGAGGAGGAAATTACATATGCAACATGGGAAAAATAGTTAAGTAAATTTACCATTTAAATAGAATTTATGTAGATACGTAAGTTTATAGAGAGCTTACAATAACATCAAATAAACATGAGGTAGAAAACATAAATCTATCTCACAACTTTAAAAAGGAAACTTGCAAGTTAAAAAAAAAAAGAAGAAAATACATCACACTGAGAATAGGACATAGTTGGCTTGTTGGTGATTCAGGTGATTAAAGTTGTCCATCTTTTGTCACAGTTCTCCAAACCAGCTATTCTAGGGTTGATTTAACTTCTCTGTTTCATAATATTTTGACTGCTTTAAGTTCATCATGTATAGGCTCATATCAACTGCATGGCAACCCATAATTTTGCCCTTTTTCAGGAGAAACAGTTTGAGGGAGAGACAGTAGCTTTTTATGACTGGAAATTGTCAAGTAACCAAGTATTAGATTCTTAGCAGTACTGTTTCATTTTCTGCTGAGTGCAAAGAAATAGTTTCCTTTTTAAAAAATTCTTGAAGGCCTTGGCTTGGGCAGAAACAACTCCCATCAAGAGGGAGAAGGCACTATGTGAAGAAGAGAATACTATATGCCAATACTTACTGGAAAAAAAGAACAAAACTGAGGAACCCTTATTATTGAGAGAGAGAGATACCAGAAGGACTTACAATCCTGAAAGAATTATAAAGTTATCCCTGACTCACCCATTCTGCTTCTTTTAGTCTTCAGTATATTTTATAACCAGATTTAAAATCTTACTTAGATTCTTCAGAAAGAGGAACTAAAAACACGGAAAAGTGTTAGCGCTATCAAGTCACAACCCTGAATGCGAATATAGAGCACCAGATAACCTGGAGGAAAAAATAATCTCCCTAGAAATGCTGGGGAAGTTTTAATGAGTATGTTTTTACAATACACAGCAGAGCTCCCAAGAGAGGAAGGGTAATACCCAGAGCCTAAAAGTGAAAAGGGAACTGAAACCAAAACAATAAGCACTGAGCTGTCACTGACACTGTCATACATTTGTTGGTCACATAAGAGCTTGGGTTTTAATTCCTGAAAGAAGCTGAAGCCTTAGACCCTTGTAATATAAAGAACTGAAGCAAAGATCCACCTAAAGCCAGGATTCTTGAAAAACATGCATCCTTAGTGAAAGGGAAATAGGGGGAAAATATCTGCCTTTATGCATAGAAAGATAACAAAAAAGGTTGTCTCAGCCTGGACATACTCGGGGTAAATCTGCACTCCATAAAATCCATAATCATGATCCTACCTACAGGTGGATTTGGGATTTCAATTTACACTACCTCCTTAGTGTAGGAACAATCAAGCCAAGAAATTAACATAAAAAATGATTCTGAAAGAGGACCTTACTCTTGGGGCACCTTGAAAGAAGCAAATTCAAAATCTCTCCAGAGACAGTACTTACCACAGGCAAAGTTAAGTCCTACTGATAAGGTCCCACTGAAGATGTGCCCAAAATAAAACAATTTTAAAGCACCTCATGAAATAATGCACCATGAGTGAACATCAACAGAAACTATAAATAATAGGAGTAGACACCTAAAACCTCAAATATTTTAATTATCAGGAACAATTAAATATATTTAAAATGATTAAATGCAAAAAAATAATTAAGTACCTAGCCTAGTAATAAGTGTTATGAATATACACAGGGGTTAATGGAGAGTGAAACCATCAGATTCACACATTTAGACAGATCATTCTAGTCGTTTTATGATGGGAGGATCTGGAAAATCAAGACTGAAGATAGCAAGGAACAACGTCCAAGGAAATAGAGAATAAAGGGAACTATATAATAAAGGTAATCATTGGGATAAAATACACATTCCTAAATATCAGAAGTACATGCACAAATAAAAAATAGAGTAAGGGGTAAAAGGCTTTCTTAAAAAAAAATTTATCTGGCTTAACTCACTTAAGATTTTCAGATTTTATCTGTAAGAAACAAAAATCTAAAGTTTCAAAAACAAACCCCCAATCCTGTGTAGTGAACAAGAAACAGATAGAAATACAGTGCTCCAGAAACATTGAAAACAAAAGGATAGGCAAAGATATGCCATGCAAAGAAAAATTAGGGGTTGTGTCTTTCTATTCGGTAAAGTAAAACCCAGGCTAACAGGCATTAAATGAGTAAATCACAATGAATATAAATTTCCTATTTCTGTATGTCAAATTATTATATACAGCTGACCCTTGAACAACACAGGTCTGAACTGCATGGCTCCATTTGCACAGGGATATTTTGAATAAATATACTAGAAAAAATTTTGGACACTTTTGACAACTTGGAAAAACATTTTCTTTTCTCTAGCTTACAGTATTATAAGAATATAGTTCATAATACATATAACATACAAAATAAGTGTTAGTTAACTATGTTATTGGTAAGACTTCTGTTCAACAGTAGGCTATTAATGGTTGAGTTTTGGGGGAGTCATACACAGTTTATATATGGATTTTCAATTGCATGGGGTCAGCACCCCTAACCCCTGCATTGTTTAAGAGTCAGCTATGGTACATACTATATTATATAGTGCTAACATTCATAAAGCACAAGATGGAAGGAAAAATAAAGAAAAGAGCACTATTAACAGGGTACTTTACTTCTCACGGTCCATGGGAAATTGGGTGGACAAAATTGGGAAAGGGTTTGGAAGACTTAATAATTTTAAAAAGCTGACTGATAATGAACTACTTTCTGTCCAAATACACAAATCACCGTTCAAGTGCTTATGGAATACTACCAAAAACTGATCATGGACTGGGCCATAAAGAAGTCTAAATAAACTTCAAAAGTAGAAACACTACATAAAACATTATCTGATCACAATACAATAAAATAGAAAATAACCACATAGCAGAAAATAAAATGCTCCTTTCACATAAAAAATAAGCTCTATCTAATATTCTTCAAGAAGGAATATGAAAATTGAAGATTATATATAGACAATAATTAAAGTGCTCTACACTGAAACAATAGCCTGAATAAAGAAGTCTACAAACTGACACTGTAGAACATGCCATCCAACAGCAGTACTTTTCTCAAGTACACAGAACATTTACTAAGATAGAAGATATATGTTAGGCCATAAAATAAGTTTCAAATTTAAAAAGATTCAAGTCATACACAGTATGTTCTCTGAGCACAAAAGAATTAATTCAGAAATTAACAAAACAGAGTGGCAGAGTTGACATTACAATAGATTCTCCACATACAAAAAGGGTAATAAAAATGAATGAGCAACTTTTTGCCAATATTTTTCACAACTTAGATGAAATAGCCAAATTTATTTAGATAGAAAATGCCAATATCCCCTGAAGAAGAAAAAGGTAGAAGAAATACATAACCTTCTAAGAAACTGCATTTGTAGTTAAAACTTCCCTACAAAGAAAACTAAAGGCCTTGATACTTTCAATGGTGAACTGTATTAAACATTTAATGAAGAAACAATATCAATTCTGCACAAACTCTTTCATAACACTCAAATACCAAAAATCACACAACATTACAAGAAAAGAGGAAAACAGGTCATCAATCCTCATGAACACAGATGTTTACATAAAAAGGTAAATATGTCATAACAAAGTGAATTTATTCTAAATATGCAGGGTTGACGTAACATTCAAAAATCAATCAATATAACTCACCATACTAACAAATGAAGAAAGAAAAACTATATGGTCTCAATCAACACAGAAAAAGAATTTGACAGAAGCCAATGACATTCACTACTGAAAAAAAAAGATCTTAGGAAATTAAGATTAGAACTTCCTCAGTCTGGGAAACAACACTTTTGAAAACCTAAAGCTAGCATATTTATAGATCAAAAACTGCTGCTTTTCCACTAACACCGGAACAGGACAACAATATGAACTTTCACCATTTCTATTTAACATCATACTGGAAACCATACTAGGGCCAGTATTAAAAGGCAAGAAAGAGAAATAAAAGGCATCTAGATTAGAAAAAAAGAAATTCTGTCTGTATTCACAGACTACCTGATTATCTATCAAGAAAATCTGGTGGAATGAATAAAAATTATTAGAATTAGTAAGTAAATTTAGCAAGACTGCAGGATAGAAGATCAATACATTAAAATCAACTACATTTCTATAAACAAGTTGTAATTAGGACCAAAAAATACCATTTACAATAGTGTCCAAAAAAAAAGGAATAATATGCAACTACCAAAAAGAATGACACTTTTTTTTAACCTAAAAAAAACCACTTCACATACGTGACCCATGCCCCCACCCACCTGCTCTACAACCACCACCAGTCTGTTCTCTGTGTTTGTGAGTCTATTTCTCTTTTTTGGTTTGTTTGTTCATTTGTTTCATTTTTCAGATTCCACAAATAAATGAAATCATATGGTATTTGTCTTTCTCTAACTTATTTCACTTTAGCATAATGCCCTTTAGGTCCACCCATGTTTTCATAAATGGCAAGATTTTGTTCTTTTTATGCCTGATATTCCATTGTACATATGTACCACCTCTTTATTAATTCATTTACCAATCACACTTAGGTTGCTTCCATATCTTGGCTATTGTAAATAATGCTGCAGTAAACACACGGGTGCATATATCTTTTTGAATTAGTGATTTTGTTTTCTTTGGGTAAATTCCTGGAAGTGGAATTACTGGGTTGTACAGTATTTCTATTTTT